GGCTCAATTGAAATGGGTTGGTGTTGGGTTTGCAAATTTGATGAATTTCACCCTCAAACTTTTGATTCCTTCAACTGAGTCCTTTCTCGAGTTTCTTTTCTTCATTTTCTTCTTGAGTTTCCGTTTTTTGCATGTAGCACTTGAAAGAAAAATGAAGATATATTAGTTAAAGAAAAGAGAGATTATCATATTTTTATATTTTATGATTTTATTTATTTTTTTTTTTTTTAATTTTGTGATTGATATATATGTTTTTTTATATATGAAAAGTCTAAATAAACTGAATGAAAAATCAGGTTATGACACTTCTTGAGATGCAACTTCATCTAGGATGTGATTTTCCAAGACGCCAACTTCGTCTTTTCTTTTCTGAGATGCAACTTCATCCCTTCTTCTTCCTAAAATGCAACTTCATCTATTATGTGATTTTCTAACATGCAACTTTGTCTTTTCTGAGATGCAACTTCATCCCTTCTTCTTCCTAAGATGCAACTTCTTTTAGGATGTGGTTTTCTAAGACGCAACTTCGTCTTTCTAATATGCAACTTCATCCCTTCTTCCTCCTGAGATGCAACTTCATCTAAGATGTGATTTTCTAAGAAGCAACTTCGTCTTTCTGAGATGCAACTTCATCCCTTCTTCTTCCTGAGATGTAACGTCATCTAGGATGTGATTTTCTAAGATGCAACTTCATTTTTTCTTTTTCTTTCTTTCTTTCTTTCTCCTTTTTTTTTTTTAGATGCACTTCATCTCTTCTTCTCAATTGGCAATGATCATTCTGCTAGCTTGAGCATTTTTTTGAACATTAGACAGCTTCAAATTTTCCTGTGACTATCACAAATCTTTAGTGTATCAAAAGCAATATTGAATGAAACAATCATATTAAATGAAGCATCAAGTTTTTTACTCTTTAATGTTCCAACGAAAGTATGGAAATGAAGAATTAATATGAAAAGGAATGTTCAAAATTTATTAACGAGAAATGAAACAATGAATCGGGTATGAAGAAAGCTTTGAACATATAGCAATTAAAAGGTATGAAAAGCTTGCTCAATAATACTTCCACAATAGTGATATCATTCTTCCTCAACACATTGAAAAGACGTCCCTTTTATACTAGGTCGATGACCCAATCATAGATGAGCAAGCTACAAATCCTCTAATAAGGACTTTAAATTGGCTTATATCATGGTTTAGGGCTTGGCAAATTAGAAAGAAAGGATAAAATTGCTCAAAATTCCCTTTTTCCTTTGAATCCCTTCACTAATACTCTTCTCACCCCAAGTTCTTGATGTAGGACAATTTAGAAAGAAAATCGTCAGGCTTTTATAAGTTAGACGATTGCCTTTTCTTTTGGCTCAAAAAGGGTTTCTAGGGATAATTTCCATGTTCAACGGATACAGAAGAATAGCCTTTCATCATTGAATTCTTTACTTACTCATCATAAACGCTTTTCTTTATTTTGCCTAGACCGCCCTATTGGGTTTTCAACCTAGCTCATTTTTTTCTTTTTTTTTTACACATAGTATTTCTTGACAACATCTGCATTCATTGGATGTGGGAGATCATCACTATCAGGATAAGCTAATAGTAAAGCTCTTTTTGAAAAAGCCGCCTTCACAATGTAAGGACTGTCGTAGTTTGGAGCAAATTTCCCCTTGGATCCTTCTCATTGGGCAGAATTTTCTTCAAAACAACATTTCTTTCTTGAAACCTTTGAGGCTTGACCTCCCTATTTTATGCTGTAGCCATTTTGATTAGGTTGCAATTTAGGTTCTTCTTCTCTTAACATGTCGGTCAATTCAGGAAAAGGTTCTAATTCTTCATCAACTTCCATAGAATAAATCAGTTCATCAAAATTATGTGTAAGTTCAAGAATGATATCACTATTTGTGGATTTATTATCAGCAAACCTAGAGATGAAAATTTTGGCTAGCATGAGAAAATTGAATAAAGCAAAAGAAAATGAACAATCTAGCACATGAAGAGAGGGAATGAAAATGAAAGTACCATCATTGATTGAAAAGAACTGAATGGAACAATATTTGTCATGCCTACAATGCTTCATAAAATATAAAAGGCTTGTTTTAACCATCTCTTCTCATGGTCACAAGCTCAACCATAAGAAGATTGACACATTACGATTTAATGATAGGAACAGGAAGAATCTCTATTGTCTATTTGTCCAAAGATTCACCATGAGCAGGTAGAATAACCTTGTCATCATCCATCCCTTCATCAATGACACATATACTTAACTTCTCAAAAGAAGTGCTCAAACCATCATTATTTGTTGACGTAATTACCTTATGACCTTTATTGGAGTCTTTCTCGATCATATTAATTGTTGGACCATCATGTGTTGGTAAAGGGTTTTTGGTGATATTCAGACCAACAACCTCAAGTTCTGATGCAATTTGTAACTCCTTTACATTTATCAGATCTTGGACACAGTGCTTTAAAGCAAGACAATTTTCAAGGTCATGCCCAACACCTCCACTATGGTATTCACATCTTGCTTGTGGGTTATACCATATTGGAAATGGTGGATTTAATGGCACCATAGGTACAGGGGTAATAAGCTCAGCTGCTATCAACTATCGAAACACTTCAGTATATGACATTGGAAGTTTATCAAAATAGCGTCTCTTTTTCTCTTGTTGTGGACGACTTGTCCCAAAGGCATAAACGGGCCTTGGTTGACTTGTAAAAGTCGTTGATTGATAAGTTGGAGCTTGGAACCAATTGTTGAACTGCCCACGTGATTGATTATTTCTTCCATATGCCTTATAAACTGAACTTATAGTGCCATTCTCATTCTCCTTCTTTCAATTTTGACCAACTTTCTTTTGGACTAGAAACCCTTGAACTACCATTTTGGTATTGTTCAAGGAGACTCTTCATTGCTTGATAATCCATAATAATTCCAGACTTGATTCCATCCTTCACTTGTTCTCCCACAACAATCAATTGAGCAAAAGTGTAATTCACACAAGTTATTAACTTCTCACAATAAGGCCCTTTGGTTGACTTGATGAATAAATTACTCAATTCATGGTCAGTCAATGGAGGTTGAACTCGAGTAGCCAATCCACGCCATCTCTAGGCAAATTCCTTAAAGCTCTCACTTGGTTTCTTTTCCGTCTTTTGAATATCCTCTCTACTAGGAGCTAATGATGTGTTGTATTCATATTGCTTCATAAAGTTGTGAGTCAAATCATGCCAACTCTTAACTTTACTCTTGTCTAAAGTAGAGAACCAAGCATCTGTAGGACTTGTTAGACTATCCTAAAATAATGTATCAATAGCTTCTCATCATTGGCATAAAGGGTCATTTTCCTACAATATATAGTCAAGTGAGCATAAGGACAACCAGTGCCATATTACTTATCAAACTCAGGCAATTTAAACTTATGGGGCAGTTGAATGTTTGGGAAAAAGCACAAAGATGAGATGTCAACTGGTTTATTGGTTTGGACACCTTGCATCAATTTTAGTGTTTCCTTTGCCAATTACACCTTTGCTTTAGTTGGCTTGTCTTCATCCTTTATGATTGACTTAACCACTTGAGTCTTTACTTGATCATTTTCAATAGTCTAAACTATAGCAACCCCAGCATTCAGAACGAATGGTTTTGTCCCAAAAGCTCCAACAATAGTCGGATTTGGTGGGCAAGATGACATTGGCTCCTTTCCAAGAGTTAAAGTAGATGTGGTAATAGGGAGACTTGCCATAGGAACGTTTCCTTCAAACAAAGGATTTGTTGTCGAAGGTGCAACTAAGGTTGCTTGAAGAGATTGGAAAGAAGCCATCAATTCCTTCAAGGTATGTTTCATATTTTGACACGATTTTCTAGAGCTCCCTTCTCTAAATTAGCTTCGTTAGCCATCTTCTTTGCAAGAGCTTTAGTGAGAATAGGTGAATGAACTCTTGGATAATTCCTTTTAGGACCAATCTTTCAACACTTGAAGAAAATATAAGCATTATGAACAAGTCATGAATTTATCTAATTAGTATTTTGAAGGATAAGTTCCCAAAGTTCCCATTAATGAGTAAACCTAACTTCTAATTATTTATTTTTACACATGGATTTTTCATTGTCAAGAACAACTTCAGCCACTTGCATATAAAGGGAAGGGGAAATTAGAGCCAAGTAATTGTCATGCAAGCCAGAAACATGAGGAGATTGCCCCCTTCATGACCTTTTATATTTTTTTTAAGTAAAAGAAAAATAATGAGGAGGTTGCCTCCTTCTTATCTTTTTTTTTTTTTTTTATAATTTTATTGAGGAACTTGCTTTTTCTCTACAAGTAAAATTCAAAAAATGTGAAATTTTACTTCAAACTTTATTTCTTTATTTAAAATTTTGAATATAACAACTAATCATAAACTTTCATTTCTCTTTATTTTTCCAATATTCTATTATTTAAAACTCACATTCACAATATGCTTTTATCATCTTTGAAAGGTTTTCTACAATTTTTGAAGCCGCATTATGTTGATTTGGTGGAATAGTACGCTCAACTTCAACCATTTCAAAATAGATTCCATTGATCAACTTTTAAATGCATTGTTGGGTGACTAAATAACAATTGAAAATATTCTTCAATGGTGAGCATGAATTTAAACTCAAGAAAAACAAAGCAACGAAGATGTAGGACATAAAATCTTAGGATTACCCTAATGATTTCCTAGTCCAGCTCTACTTGCAACACATAAGCTATTCTTCCAAAATTCTTGTCAAACCTCACTTTACCAAGATTACTTAAACTATTCCAAGCAACAACCAAGTCTTTTACACAAGGTCTTTTGGTCTGCACAGAGAATCCTTTCTTGTGTAACTTGTTCTTCTTGGATAATGGTGAACATTCTAACTTTAAATTGACCCTTTTTCCCTTACTGTCCTTTTTCTCCAAAGAATCCATGTGTAAAATAATCAATTACCTATTTATTCAAGGAAAGAAAAAGGAGGGTTAATAAATGTCATACCTCTTGGTTGAATTCCTCACCTAAGAAACACAAAAACATTGTTTAAAAATAAAATACTCCTTACATGTCCTATGTATAAGGTTCTTAGACTTTGAAGGTTATTTGCTAAGCTGGCCACCCTAGGGTTAAGTTTTATCTAAGTCCATTACATGCGGTTTCCTAGTGGATCCTATACGATTAGGCTTTTTCAATTGCTAACTTCCATAAGTCAACAATTATCGACTTCCATAAAGTCAACATTACCAACTTCTATAAAGTTAACAAGAGGCATTTCCTGACCTAATACAGCAGCAACATTATGGCTGTCAGGCCATATTAACCCACAAAATGAACCTAAAAGAGATAAATCCCACTTCACAAGGAAAGCATTGCGCTTTGCATTGCTCCATGAGTTATCCATCTATCTAGAGGTCAGGTTCACCTCATCAAGGACAAAATGATATGCAAGTGAGGTGTGTGAGGGAGTATACACATAAAGTTAACATATGAAAATAACAAAAATATTAAATAAAATAACAAAATAAAAAACTCACAATGTACTCCATGCCACCTACAAAAAAAAGTTAGTAATTAAAAAACCCCAAAATTAAAGTATAAATGGTTTGACCCTTCAATGTCCCTAGTGGAGTCGCCAAAACTATTGACGTGTCAAAATGGATGGAGTTGCCATTTATCCAAATGAGGTGGGATAAATCACCAAAGTCTACGTTGAAATTGACTAGGTTTGAAGGGTCGATTAAGCATGGGGAAGGTGTTAGGCACCTCATAACTTCCATATAAATATGGTTATCACATGCTTTAATTTTTGGGGAGTTTTCAAAAAAATAAATAAGAATCACCAAGAGAAATAAACACAAAAAAAAAGAGATCAATTAAAACACCTCATTTTCTTTTCTCGTTTCTTTTTTTTTTGTTTTAAAATTTTTTCATTTCTATTTTTTTTGTTCATTGTTGTTTTTTTCTTTTTCTGTTTTTTTGTTTTTGTTTTTTTTGAATTAACAAATTTATATATCCATTTTTTAAAACCATTTGACAAATTTCACTTATTAAAATCTAGATTCCCTACATACATTATCATCTAAATACTAAAGATACTTAATAAATGAGATACTGTACAATATTTCTTGTTATTTTTTTTAATTAATATATACTTGTTCTGCAACTTGACAATTACTAGGCACTTGAGAACAAACTATTATACACCTTTTTGTTTCTTAATCCTAATTCCAAAAACAACAAAAAAAAAAAAAAAAACACAATTTCTGAATAAACAGATTGATTAATTCCCAAGTTCCTCATGTTAACTAGATTTCAGCTTTCCAGTTTAACACATAATTCATAATCGGGGAAATAACCAAATCCCGACAACCATTAAAAAAAAAAAAATGATTTGTAGCAAAAACAAAACATGAATATCAACCAAAAGGAAACAAAATTCTTAACTGCAACTTTATGACATGCAGATTAAAGAAAGAAAAGGAAAAATAAAACACACCTAGAGTGGAGAAACTCCAATTTTTATTTGTTGCAGACTTTAAAGTATAAAATTTCTTCCTTTGCTTCAGATTTCTTCCCCTCTTCTCTCTCAATTTTTCGAATGCCCATCTAAAGCCGAAAGCCCCCTTTTATACAAAAACGAAGAGAGCTGAATCCCTTTCTAGTTCTCAATCCTAATCCAAATCCCTAAAATTATAGATAATACTCCAATCCTATTCAAAATAGGAATTCTAAAACTAACCTAGTTCTTTACACATATTCCCTCTTTCAAGGCTAGATTCATACCTCTTAAAGATTAGGACTCCCAATCTAAATTGACTTCGAAAACATCTTCTGCGATTCTTGTTGAAGACTTCTAATCTGGATATTCCTTCGTACCGATGTAATAACCTATCCAAACTCGAGTAGATTTAGGGATAAACCAAAAGAATTTGGGAATTTAGGGAGAGTGGTTAGCGGCAAAGCAAGAGGAAGCAAGAGCAATCGTGAAAAATAAGGGCTAGGGTTCATTTGAACCCAGCCTCTCTTTTTATTTTTTTAGCCCATTGGTTAAAACGACGTTGTTTTGCCATTTCCTCCTTTCAATCCTTCAAGTTTTCATTTTTTACAAAATGGTCCATTGACTTCTAATTTTATCATTTGGCCCCAATTAAAATTGGGTTATGACACCCCTTACTACATCACCTTCTATTCTACCTTCCTTTATTGAGCATTCCACTATATCAGCACCCATTAAGCTACCGGAACCATCTTGCTCATTATAATTTAAATTTTGTTCCCCACAACCATTAGACAACATCCTCCTAACCTCCTCTTCCATTTCTTTCAAAAAGATGTTATTGCGATTGCAAATTTTTAAATCTGCAACATTCCTTTTTGCTTGATGTCTTGAGGCAATGGAAACTCCATTGCCACCATTGGCACTGCTTTTCAACAACGGTTCAACATCCTCTTCATTTACCTCTAACATGTCATCATCTTTAACCTCAAGTCTTTCCAATTGAAAATTCACTTGGTCATATGAGTCTAACTTTACATCTATGGAGCTCTATAATGACCAGGATTGATTTTTCTTCATCTTCATCACTCAGCAGAATATAATTGAAATTTGATTTTATTATGAGCAGCAAATTGTTAGAAGGCAGTTTTTGAGTAAAACCATACTTCTATAGATTGCCTTCTTTTCCCAGTAGAATTTCCTTTCTACAGAGACAAAACACATGAAAAACACAAACCCCTATGTTAAGTCCCAAACGTACATGTAAAAAGAAAAAGAACTTTTCAGATGAGGAACAAAGACATGAAATCAAAAGCAAATTAGATTGGTCTATCGTAAAAAGTTGAAGGATCAATAGCCAATTTGGCCCAAGTTGCTTGAAGCAAAGCAAAGTGAGTGTTTTTCTTGTAAAACTATGTGGGAGAAGGAATTAATGGTGAAGGAAGAATTAAATAAGAAAGAAGGACAAATTGAAGGGATCAAAGGAATTGTTGGAAATTAGATCCTAATGTTTAGCCATTATCTCTATAATTTAGGAAGTTTAAGTTGATTATTTGTTTTTCTTATCATTTAGGTTGTTATCTTTTTACATAAAGTTATCTTGTAAAGCCTATTTAAAGGTTAGTTGATTTTCATTTTAACGTGAGTTCGATTCCCATTCCATTTTCTTCTTCTTTGGAATTCCTTGGTTTTCTTAATATTTGGTATCAGACCCTATTCCTAGTAGATTCCATGGCTTTCAAAAATTATGTCCAGCCCTCAATCCCTTGTTTTGATGGTCATCACTATGACCATTGGAGTATGTTGATGGAAAATTTTCTCAAGTCCAAAGATATTGGAAAATTGTTGAAGTTGGAATTCCAGAACCAACGGGCAAGTGCAGATGATGCACAAAGGGCAGAAATAAGAAGGAAAAGTTGAAGGATCTCATGGCTAAGAACTATTTGTTCCAAGCCATAGATTGGGCTATCTTGGAAACAATTCTTAACAAGTCTACTTCCAAGACTATTTGGGATTCCATGACGAAGAAGTACCAAGGGAATGAAAGAGCAAAGCAACAACAACGCCAAGCTTTGTAGGTAAAATTCAAAAGTCTACAGATGCAAATTGATGAATCTGTAGATGACTATTTTTCAAGGACGATGGCAATCGCAAACAAGATGAGGATTCATGGTGAAAATCTAGAGGATGTTGCCATAGTTGAGAAAATTCTTCGGTCTATGACAACAAAATTCATTTATGTTGTCTTTTCCATTAACGAGTCGAATGATATTGAGGCACTTTCCCTTGATGAGTTGCAAAACTCATTATTAATTTATGAGTGGAAGATAGACCGCCAAGACAAGCAAGAGCAAGCAATGCAGATTTCGCAAACGCAAGCCTTGCAAACCATAGTTAATTCAAGGGCTGTAAGTCGAGGAAAAGAAAACTGGAAAGGCAGATCAAGATCTGACAGACTGAGATCTGGTAGATTGGAGGAAAGTTCAACCATTGGAAATTAAAAGAGATGGCAAAACAAAAATTATCAAGCTATAGATAATAGATCCAAATTTGTAGGCAAGGCAAATGTTGAATGCTTTAGGTGTCATAAGAATGGCCATTATCGTTCTGAATGCCATGCTAATCTGAATAGAAGAGAAAGTTCTAACTTCGCAGAACACAATCAGAAGAGTGATGATGCCTCTCTATTCATGGTCTATCATCCTAAAGAAGTCAGCGAGAAGAATGTGTGGTATCTGGATACTGGCTGTAGCAACCACATGTGTGGTGACAAATCTTCGTTTTTAGATTTGGATGAGTCTTTTTAAGACAAGGTGAAATTTGGTGATAATTCCACTATTGTAGTCAAGGGAAGGGGAAAGGTAACCATTCGTGCCAAAAACAATTCAGTTCAAACTATTGCTAATGTTCTGTATGTACCAGATTTGAAGTCAAATCTGCTTAGTTTGGGACAGCTTCAAGAGAAAGGATATGAAATCCTAATTAAAGATGGAGTTTGCCAAGTTCATGATCCAAAGCTTGGCTTGATTGTAAAGGTCAAGATGACAGGAAATAGGTTATTTCCATTGTACTTGCAAACCACAAATCTATCATTTTTATCCACCAAAATGAAGGACACAGCTTGGTTTTGGCATTACCAAGATGGACATCTTTATTTTGGTGGATTGAAGGCCTTGCAACAGAAGAAGATGGTAAATGGTCTTCCTCATTTTGATTCTCCTTCAGAAATTTGTGAAATCTGAGTGGTCAGTAAGCAGTGCCGTGATAGCCTTCCTAAAGACAGATCTTGGAAAGCAAAACGGGTGCTAGATCTGGTTCACTTTGATCTGTGTGGACCTATAAATCCAGTATCCAATGGATGTAAACTATACTTTATTACCTTTGTTGATGATTATAGTCGCAAAACATAGGCATATTTTTTTCAGACCAAGTCAAAAGCCTTAGCAGCCTTCAAAATTTTCAAAGTCTTGGCTGAGAATGAGGCTAGCAGATCTGTAAAGCTTCTATGAACAGATCATGGTGGTGAGTTTAACCCACAAGAATTTGTAGATTTTTGTGAATCCAATGGTATTAAAAGGCAACTCACAACAGCATATACACCCTAGCAAAATGGTGTATGTGAGAGGAGGAATCGCACAATCATGAATATGGTGCAAAGTCTGATGTCAAAAAGTAGCTTGCCTAAGGAGTTTTGGCCAGAAGCTATTAACTGGAGTAGACAAAAATTCCATATTAATATGTATATAAATTCAGTTCATCAAATTCCCCCAAACTTAAGTTTTACTCGTCCTTGAGTAAAATAAAAAACTAAATAACCAAAAAGAAAATATAACCTAACTCACTTTCGTAGGAATCACGATTGCACTTAGCATGTACAACAAGCCTTTAAACTCCTAGGTCACCCTAATGGATGAGTTGTGTCTCGTGAGGGTTTTTAGTAGATTTACCCACAAAATCCCAATGCAAGAATGTAACTATATGATATGCATGCAAAGAAAATTTAAGAATTAAAGTTCAATTAGATACAAAGTCTCTAATATTCAAGAGTTTTCATATATTCACTTAAAGTCAAATACTCATCCTATTCTTCACATTACTTGTTGAAAGATTTAGCCCATGAGCACTTAGTATGTGTGTGGAAATTCTTAGTAAGAACTCTCAAGTTTAGACCTTCACACCTTAGCACTTATTACTATTTTTTTTTTCTTTTTCCCCCCTTTTTTTTTGTATGTCGACTTTCCTTAGGCTTTCTAAGTTATCCATGTAATGAGATTTTTATCAATGACTCCCAAACCAGTTGGTTTTAGGGTATTAGGTGAAGAGACACCCCTAAGAACATACTTACTCAAGTAACAAAGGCCACAAAACATTCAACTTCTCTTTCTTTCTTTCTTCTTCTTTTTTTTTTTCAACCACACAACACATTCTTCCCTAAGTTATCACTTGTCTTTTGACATGAATACAAACACTTGTGATGAAAGCACTCGGTTACTCAACAAGTCATAAACTCAAAGTGCTTTGCATACTCATATTTCAAGTCACCATTTGACGTGAAAGTTGACATGGGTCTCATGCCTAACCCCCAGTTACTAAGTAACTAGAAACATTGGAGTAGAAATTAACAAACTCTTTTGTATTGGCTTCTTTTTTTTTTTTTTTTTTTCACCATCTCAAGTTTCCTT